AACCATGATTGAGTGAATCTTCATAATTGCTATTGTGTCTGGAATAACTTTCATCATCGGAGGAATGTGGAATTGCTTCCTCAATTCCAATATTGAAATCCATTGTGCCTATTTTATTTCAAAAACAACCTCAAATTCACATTGTTGATATTTATTTGAGCTTAGAAAATAATTTATAATACAAGACATGGATAACTAAATTGATTTTAATTAAGAAAAAAATATATACGAGTATATAGATCTGATGCGACTAAGTCACTAGATGCAACTAAGTCGAATGAGATAAAATTTTGGTAAAAAAAAAATAACACTGAGAAACACTTTCGTGTAGTTATATAAGTCCATATCAAATACACGGTGATTTGCTGATATAAATTAGTACCGACAATGGCTAAACACGGAAAAGATGCTAATACACCTTCAACTATCAAGATTAACTCCATGCTACTCATAAGGCAAATCCATTAAGTAACAGCAGATAAAAAATAACTAAATGAATACACAAGTAAAAATTGATTTTGTCTATCCGGTCATTTTGTATGTTCAACATTGCAAATTTATTTATATGTTCAAATGTGAACTGTTGAATTTGAAATATTACCCAAGTCAAATTGAGAAGAATCACTCTGTGGTTTATTATTGCAACCTTATTTCTAGTGAACTACATATGAGATTTACTGATCATGCAGATCATTAACAAAGTTATCACCATCACCGATATTCAGCAATTTAACTTTATCAATTAGACTCTAAATTCCTTGAGCTTTATATCCTTCATTATAATAATATCATTAACAAATTACTACAAGTGATGAATCCATAAATATACCAACTCTGTTTTAGTGTTTTAGTACTTCTCCAGAACTAACAGATGTTAAGGAACTTATAGTTTATTTGCACCAATCATTGAAATCCTTCCACGGGCCATCAGTCCAATCAAAACAATAAATTCACTCTAATTCAAAATAATAAAACCGTGAACTATGTCTTTGACAAAATCAAGGAAGATAGGGCATACTTTTTGCCAAACAATTATGTAAAACAATATCTACAAGATGAGAAATATATTTAATTACTGTTTGTCCAGCAAATAGGACCGGAAAAAAAAGTAAAACGAAGAACATAACCAATAGGAAGATATGAAATCATTCATGGTCTTAAAGCTTTAATTCTTAAGAAAGAAGAATAATTAAAATATGTCGGACCTAAAATTAAATAACTTACAATCGACTGGAGAGGAGAAATCTGAGCGTAGTGCTTGACGGCTATGGCAGGATCGTCAGAAGATGAAAAAGAAAAACGTTTTATCTGTCAATAATTAGGGTTCAAAAACACAGAAGATAATGAAGAAGAAGAATTAAATTATGTTACATGTTTATTGTTGTAATTACATCTTAATTATTAATTATTAATGATTATTAATTATTACTTAAGTTTTAGTTATAGGGATTTTCATGTAATTTCACGTATAAGGTAGGTATCGTACTTTTTTTATGGGGTTCGTACAAATCATACGTGTCACATTTTTATTGGTTGATTTTCAATTGTTTGGGTCCGAGTAGTACAAACCCTCTCGGACCCTAGACAACCCCTACATACATTTATATGTAGGTAGGTTGAGTAGTACACTTTTTGCACGCCAAATAGTTTTGGGTGCATTGCGTTAGGTAGGATGTAAGGTTACTAGACCATCCACTTTGACTTAATCTAAAGCTCTTAATACCCTTACCAAAATTGAGGTGTTTACGTGCAGTGCATTATATTCAATGTGTTGAATGGTGGTTACGTGCATGCTCAGTTGCTCACCAATCTAGTTTTCCAAGGTCCGTATACAAAAGTTAAACATCTATCAATTAATACAGTCGGCGTTAACAATTTTTTTTTTAGTGAAATGTTAAATTATCGAACTAATAGTTGAATACGTTTCTTCACTGAGTCGAGACTAGGAATAAATTATTATTTAAATGAGGTTATTAATTTATTGGGGTTCTACTGTATTTTTCATTTTTTTTTATTAAGTAAAGTCGTCACCATCAACCCCATACATTTGGAACTAGATTCATCACCATGAACAACCATTTTCAGGCTCAAATTAAATGAAGTTGTTAGATTTTGCATATTGAATCGTGTGGGGATAAAATTTTGAGCTTTTTGGTTACTTAAAAAGTATAAATTTGACATTTGCATAATCTCTTGGAGATGCCATGTATAAACAAGTTCTTTAATTAACTAATACTTCATGAACTTTTTTTCTTAAGCATAAAAGCGTTTTCGTCTACAATTAAAATTTTAGGATTTACGATTCGATTCAATTTTTAGAATGCTATACATATTCAACTCAAATGTTGGAATAAATCCTAAATGTCAAAAAATCCATATTTCATTATATTGATTGAATATTATATTTACGTTCCAATTTGTATGATTATAGATAAAAATATTATATATTTGATCAACTTGTTAATATGATAATAATTACAGTTCCATAATACCATAATACATTTTGTATAACTTCTCATTGACACATTCTCCCCTCTTCAAATATTGTTTATTTGAGAAAAAAAATAGAATTAAAGTATATTCTTCAATTCTAGTTACACTCCTATTTTTATAATTTATTTTAAACAATCGAGTTATCAAAATTGTTTGTGATGAGTGTTGACCCACGTGGACCCGCTGCTTGCCATCAAATCAACAAATATTATTTACGAGTTTGTATTTGGTTCTTGGATATTATTTTTTGCATTTATTTTGTTTTTTTTTTATATATATTTTATAAATTTATAATATGTACATTTGCATAATGTAAATGGTAATACTAACAAACATATACTGCTTTTTTTTTAATATTTAGCTTTATTTTATGTACTGGCAAAATTTTATATATTTACAAACATCAGCTATTAAATTAATTTAGGTTATGAATTTGTGTTTGGCTTTAAATACTTTTACAAGATTTAGGTTTTTATTACAATGCTTTATAATTTCTTTTCAATATTAGTATAGTATTAATATATTATTTTTGAAAAACAAATTCGTAGGATTACTATTCAAAAACTTGTTTGCAATTTTATTCTTCTCATAATTTATACCTTATTAATAACGGTAATCACAGTAATATGAGCACGTGTATATCATATTGATATCTTATTTGAGAAAACATTCAAAACGGACGCTCTGTTAATAGCACAAAAATGGACTCCCACTCATATGATGACACGTGGATAAAAGCAATGAACAATCTCTCTAATGGGACCCATTTATGCATTTCATTCGGACCGGTAAAAGACAAGTGCTTCTCTTTTTTTTTTTTTTTTTTTTGCAAAATAAAACATTTCATTCCTATCATTGATGATCTTTTCATAAATTTCGATATTAGTTTTATTAAATATAATTAATGTAGTGCAAAATAATGCCTTTTTATTAAAATATGTATTAATTTTAATAAATATTATTACTCAAAAAAAAAAAACTTTAATAATATACAAATTTATATAAATTAGTGTATAATAATTATGAGTAATATAAACATTAATCATAAAATCGCTTGAAAAGCATTATCTTATTTATATCATATTTGCAAACAGTTGTTATATCTTATTAATAACAGTAATATGAGCACGTGTATAGAACGTGAGCACATATATGTCCACGGTTAAGATTATTGCAATAAAATCACACAAAAAAAATTAAATTAAATCAAATGACCACTTCAAAAATGAAATTTTATTATTTAATAGATATTAAACATAAGAATTCACTTTTTTTCCACGGAATGTTCGATGCTACACCTGGTTATTTACATCGAGTGAATTTGAACGGTTGATTTGATTAAATAACTATCCACTAAACACACATACACATGAGTGCGTGTGATCGTGTATAGGTATATCTAGGGCTGATAAACGAGTTGAGTCGCTCGTGAGCTTGATGAGCCGGCTCAAAAAAAGCTCGAACTCGAGTTTTTCGAGCTCGAGCTTTATGACGAGCTTGATCTTGTTTTTAGTTTTTATTTAAATAATGTATAACAACATAAAATATTATAAAAATAATATAAAAAGAACATATAAATATTAAAAAATATATATAATTACAGTTTATTATTTATTTTGAATTTATTTTATTATAATCTAAATATTTTTTAATAATTAAAAAATGAGAAATAGTTTAATCTATCCTATTGAATCATTTGAAAATACAGATTCAAAAGTTATTCGTTTATATATTTCTATTTCGTTCTAGGATCTATATATTATTTATGTATGTTAAAAATGCCATCTTGCTAAAACTTTTTCAAAAAAACAGTTCTCCCTTATCATATATAGGCGAAAAAGCTGTCTAGATTGTGATGTCTATGGACAGCTAAACCAATGACTATTCATGATTCCATGATTGAATCAATCCCATACTGGTTCCAAATTAGAAAATGTTATGGTAAAACTTCGTTTGAAACAATGTGGTAGAAAGCAACGTGCGACTTGAAGAACACGATCCATTGTGGATTATATTTTTACATCCATCATTTTCTTTTTTTCGCAATTTTTGTTGAACCGTATGCATCAAAAGGTGCACATACGGTTCCTAAGGGATACAATTTTACCCTACTCAACCGACTTTATCGCGAAAGATTACTTTTTTTAGGCCAAGAAGTTGATAGCGAGATCTCTAATCAACTTATTGGTCTTATGGTATATCTCAGTATCAAGGATGATACCAAAGACGATCTGTATTTGTTTATAAACTCTCCTGACGGATGGGTAATACCTGGACGCAAGATCGAGCCAAAAAAAAAAAAAACTCGACAAGCTCGAGCCTGTCAAAACAAGCGAGCTCGTCTGGTTCATGCCCCCTAGATATGCCGTTCAAATCTACAAAATATAATTAATACCCAGACGTAACATCTAATTTACCATTTCGAATCACCAACTATATGTCTATATATACACGGTAAAGCAGAAACTACTCGCCACCATTCAATATTCAATACTAGCTATATCAATTACTACAGTCATGGAATTGATGATCTCCGCCATCTATGGAGCCATAGCCTTCACTTTCCTTCTCTGCAGCTACCTTCTCCGGTCAAGCTCCGTCACTCCAAAGAAATCCCCACCCGCTGCAGGCGGCGCACGGCCCTTCATAGGCCACCTCCACCTCATGGGCGGCGCCGGGGGCTCGCTCCCCCACTTCAACCTATCGGCCCTCGCAGACAAATACGGGCCCATCTTCACCATCCGCCTCGGCATCCGGCGAGCCGTGATAGTGAGCAGCGCCCAGCTCGCCAAGGAACTGTACACTGCGTGTGACGTGGCGATCTCGTCGCGCCCGAACCTAAAGTCGGCCATCTACTTGAGCTACGACTTCGCCATGTTCGGCTTCACTCCATACGGCGCATACTGGCGCGAGATACGCAAGCTGACGGCTATGGAGCTTCTCTCGAGCCGCAGAATCGAGCTGCTCAAGGAAGTACGCGGCTCCGAAATCGACAAATCCATCAACGAGCTATACAAGCAAACCACCATGGCCGCTGAGAAGAGAGTGGTGGTGGAGATGAAGGAGTGGTTCGGGAACTTGAACTTGAACGTGGTCCTCATGATGGTCGCCGGGAAGAGGTACTCCGGCGGCGGAGATGACGCGGAGGAGACGCGGCGGTGGAGGGCGGTGATGCGGGATTTCTTCCATTTCATTACGATGGTTGTGCCCGCCGATGCCATGCCTTATCTCGGGTGGCTGGATTTAGGCGGGCATGAGAAGAAAATGAAGGAGACTGCTAAAGAATTGGATAGAACAATCGGAGGGTGGCTGGCGGAGCACCGGGAGAAGAAAAACTCCGGCGACGACGAAAGTAAGCCGCAGGACTTCATGGATGTGATGTTGTCGGTTGTGAAAAGTGCAAACTTTCAAGGTGAATACGATGCCGATACCATCATTAAAGCTACTTGTGGGGTACGTTTTATTTCCTCGTACCGAAAATTACATTAATGAACTCAAAAATATTTTATATTCAAATTATAATGAGATTTTTTATTTTAATTCAAATCATGTCATAAAATTGGAAACCATTATAAACCTCTATTTTATTAGGCTTCTTCACATTACACCCGGTGATAAATATTGGATGGGTCTTCTGTTGTCATGTGTCCTTTTTTTTATTTTTCTAAAACTCCTAAATGTAAATTCTAGCGAGGAGAATATATTATAAAATACAAAAAATGACACGTGGCAGCAGAAGACTCAGCCAGTATTTATTATCGGGTGTAGGGTCAAAGAAGTCATTTTATTAGGAGGTGTTAGCTAAGTGCCAACTTTCCTATTGATGTTGTCTATTTTATGCCACTATGAAAGATAATTTTTGAGCCACAATATCTGGTTTTACATGGTTCAAAAATTATTGTCACACTATGCGTTGAATTGTCACCGATAAATTTCTCATGACTAGTTTTATATAGTACGATCTCGTTAGGTTTCCAAGATAAGATAATTTTTCCACTGAAATAATAGGTCTATTATTTAATAAGATATTTGTTATCAAATTTTGATTTTTTTATGTCCCCGTTGTTTAATAGTGTCTAATGTTCGGTTTTCTTAATATCAACCCAATTACATGAAAATAACTAAATTACCTTTTGTTATTGTATGGCTCCTTCGACCATACACTTGGTCATAAACGCTGGGTAGGTCTTCTGCTACCACGTGCTTTTTTTTTTTCTTTTTCTAAAACCCTTAAAGATAAACCCTAGCGAACAATATATTATAAAATACAAAAAAAAAAAAAAAAACCACGTGGCAGCAGATGACCCGCCCGATGTTTATCACCGGGTGTAGGGTCGAAGAAGCCATTATTGAACATATCTTTTTGCTTCTTCTTTTTTAATATTTATATTTTGTTATTTTTTATTTTTTTTGAAAAACATATTTTATTTTAATTTTTCGATTTTTTGTTTTCTTCAGTTTTTCCGATTTTCTTTTTATTTTTCGAAAAAAAAAAATTTTTATTTTATTTGGTATTATTTTTGATTCGTTTTCAAAAAAAATTCAATTTTTTTTTTATTTTTATCGATTTCTTTTTCAAATTATTTTTTCTTCAGTTTTTCCGATATTTACTTTATTTTATGAAAAAAAAATCGAAAAAAAATATATTTTTTTTCTTTTTGGAAAAATTATTATATTTCAATTTCTTCAGTTTAAAAAAATTTCAAACTTTTTTTTCAGAAAAAATAATATTTTTTCGAAAAAAGTATTTTTTATAATTTCATTTTATATTTTTCGATTTTTATACCAGAAAATTTTTTTGATTTTTTTCAAAAATAAAATTTTGAATTTTTCTTTTTTTATATTTTTTTTTCGAATTTATTTATTTATATTGATTATATTTTTTTAAAAAATAATTGAATATGTCATTGTGATAAATAGATGAAAACGAGGACAATTTTGTCATTAACACATCTAGTCATAGCACAATAATGTTATTGGACCTCTCAACGTCCAATTAGGTATCTCCCAATTAGGTCATGACAAAATTATTTTGACGGGTAGACCCGAAAAATAATAGAACTAACGAAACATAAACTAAATCTTTCAATTTAGTTAATCTTGGCTAATCTTGTCAATCAAATAGAGGCTCACAATAATAAATGATTGTCTGTTTTATAATTCTGTCGAGTTTGTGGGCTTCTAAGGTGGTGTGCTTATAATATAATTGAAACACTACACATGTGCTATTTAATTAACAAAATATAATTTTCCGAATAAAAAAAAAACTAATGTCATTTTTTCTTATAGTGTACTCAAATTTATAGTGTATTCAAATAAGATCATATCAATGATATGTTTCGATGAATTTGCAGACTATGATCATCGGTGGGAGCGACCCAACTACAGTGATGTTAGTATGGGCACTCAGCCTCCTACTGAACAATCGTCGTACCCTGAAAAAAGTTCAAGAAGAATTGGACGAGCAAGTGGGGAGAGAAAGGCGAGTAAAAGAATCCGACATCAACAATTTGGTTTATCTCCAAGCCGTAGCTAAAGAAACTTTACGATTATACCCCGCGAGCCCCTTAGGCGGGGTCCGCGAGTTTGGCGAAGACACTAGTGTTGGAGGCTATCATGTCCCGAAAGGCACGTGGCTCATGATAAACTTGTGGAAGATGCAGCGCGATCCTCGCGTGTGGGGGGACGATGCGGTGGAGTTCAGGCCCGAGAGGTTTTTGGAAACGCACAAGATTTGGGATATGAGGGGCAAAGATTTCGAGTTTATCCCGTTTGGTGCTGGTCGGAGGATTTGCCCCGGGACGAACTTCGGCCTGCATATGTTGCATTTGGTGTTGGCTAACTTCTTGCAGGCGTTCGATGTTACGACAGTGTCGGATCAAGCGGTTGATATGACTGAAAGTGCTGGATTGACAAACCTCAAAGCCACACCACTTGATGTTGTTGTTGCCCCGAGGCTTCCTTCTTATTTATACTAGCTAGGCACATCGAGTATTATGTTTGTTGCTCATCCACACACAAATTTACGGATTAAATATCAAGGTAGCACACAAACATAAATTAAAATAGTACATAATAACTTAAAAATATATAATGTAATTGATGATGCTAATTACTTAGATCATCTGGAGTAGGGTAGAAAACGAGCTAGGAGATCAAAGCGGATCAGTAGCTTAGCAATTTGATGATCATGAGGTCCCTGCGAAATGAGCACACGTGAACTAAGCCAGGGGTTGATCCGGCGGAAACCCCTTCGATGCTCAAGTCAGATATACGGATTGTGGAGATGGTAGAGAGAATAAAACTCTAGATTGCTTGTGAATAATAGAACGTACATTAAGGAATGAGTTCAAACCTTTTTTTATACCCATTGATTGGGCTTAAGTTTAAATAGTTGAGATTGTCAGGCTAAAACACTATGTGAAGGTGATTGGGCCTCGGTAGTAGTAGTTTTTAATATTGGGCTCATGGCCCAGTATGCATGAGAATTGTAGGCCCACTGGGTTGGCTCAATTAGGCATATCATTAAGCCCCGCACTCTCGAGTCGATGTGGGGGCAATGTTGAAATGGGTGCCAGATCGTATCGAGAGAAAAAAATTTATTGGTCGCTCGTTGGCGTATGGCCGGATGGTGTGCGAAAACGCGTTGGAGCGTGTGTCGGAGGGGCGTGAAGGGGCGTTGGCGCGTAGCGCGACCAAGTTGTCGCGGTGTAAGTTACTTGAGTCGTCGGTGTTGTCTCGCGACGATGTAGTAGTGCGGATCGAGTTATCTCCTCGTGGGAGTTGTCCCGTCGCGGGGTAATAGAGTTGATCGAGTTATCTCCTCGTGGGAGTTGTCTCGCATCGAGTTGTAGGACCGAGCGAGTTGTTTCCTCGTAGGAGTTGTCTTGCTATGGGTTCATAAAACCGAGGGAGTTGGCTACTCGTGGGAGTTGCCTCACAACGGGTTCGTAGGACCGAACGAGTTGTCTCGTCGTGGGAGTTGTCTCGCTGCGGGTTCGTAGTACCGAGGGAGTTGGCTCCTCGTGGGAGTTGCCTCACAACGGGTTCGTAGGATCGAGCAAGTTGTCTCACTGCGGGTTCGTAGTACCGAGGGAGTTGGCTCCTCGTGGGAGTTTCCTCACAACGGGTTTGTAGGACTGAGCGAGTTGTCTCGATGCGGGTTCGTAGTACCGAAGGAGTTGGCTCCTCGTGGGAGTTGCCTCACAACGGGTTCGTAGGACCGAACGAGTTAACTCCTCGTCGGTGTTGTCTCGCTGCGGGTTTGTAGTACCGAGCGGGTTGTCTCCTCGTGGGAGTTTTCTCGCAAGCCCCCCACTATCAATTCGATATGGGATATAAGTCAAAAAAAATACCAAATTGTGTCGAGAGTAGATCGGTGTTGTAGTGTTTCGTTAATCCTTAGCGTGGTGTGGATGAATAATTTTTATTTTCTCTACGGAGAGCGAGCGCTATTGGGTGGGGCGCATTGGAATCCTTGCGCGATTTGGTAGAGTGCGTTGAAATTCCCGCGTGATTTGGTGGCGCGCAGTGGAAGTTGCGCGCGAATAAGTCAGACGCGCGCACGAATTGATATCCGTAGGACCCAGCGTGTTGTATCGCAACGGCTGTAGAGCGACACGCGTATCTAGAACGCACGTATGGATCGATGGACGGTGGAGGATCACGAGGATCGAGGTCGCGAGCGCGAATGAAGGACCGCGGTGGATAAGGAGCACGCGCGCGTAGCGATTGGAGAGGTCAGAGCGTGCGCGGCGCGATTGGCGATGAATCAAGTTGAGAGTAGACCGGTGTTATAGTTTTGTGTTCATTATTGTCGCGGAATAATAATAAAAAGGGTATTATTATTCATGCTCCTTTTTTTTTTTTTTGACAGCCACAGAGGGCGCACACAATGGGGCGCGGGCGTACTGGGCGCGCGAGGAGCGGGGCGCGGGTATGTTGGGTACCCAGGGCGCACCAAAGGGGAGCGGGGCGCGAGGTGCGCACGCGGCAGGGGATCGGGGTGCGCGCAGCAAGGGAGCGGGGCGCGGGCGCGGCAGGGGAGCGGGGAGCGGAGGCGCGCGCGGCATGGGAGCAGGGCGCGGATGCGCGCGCGGCAAGGGGAGCGCGGGGGGCGCCTGCCGGCTGTTGGGGCGCGGGGCGCGAGCTTGCCGGCTGTTGGGGCGCAGGGCGCGCGCTTACGGGCTTTTGGGGCGCGCGATGCGGCATTTTTGTTTTTTGTTTTTTTTTTGTTTTTTAGGTGATTGATGTCCACGATAATGCTTTATTTTTTCAATTTTTTTTTGGTAAGGAAACCATATCCGGCTCTTGAGATGGGATGTGAACCCACTTGGGGTTAAAAGGTAAGGATGGTGTTCAAGCATTGGGTGAGATGCCCAACTTTATGGTGAGATAGGCTCCAACTTAGGATGAGGCGATCAGGAACCAATTGAGATGAGATGCCCAACATTGGGGTGTGATAGCCCCCCAACTTAGGATGAGACGATCACGAACCCTTGGGATGGGATGCCCAACTTTGGGTTGAGATAACCCCCAACCTAGGCTGATGCGATCACAAGTCCTTAGAATGAGATGCCGAACCTTCGGGTGAGATAGCTCCCAACTTTAGGATGAGGCGATCATGAACCCTTGGGATGAGATGCCCAACCTTGGCAATGTACGGTGCCATTGATTCAGTGGCAGCGCGAGTTGAATCTTCCGTGATTATACGCTGAAGGTCTTCTTCGGTTGTCTGAACCGTTCAAGGAGCAAGTAGAAGTTGATCCTGTTGAGGAACGAGTGCTATGATCAGCTGAAAGCGAAGTATGAAGTTGAGAAAACGACGGGAAAGAGGTTTCTTGCTACGTCGAGGGGTGCTGTTTATAGGGAGTCCATCGTGGAGGAAACCAAACTTAGCTTTCGAGATAGTGTTCATTGTCGTGCTATGATTGAGGGACGTACTTTGGCTGCGGTGTATAAGCCATTAGTTCGTACCTATCGGAAATACCTTCGCGAGGTGGGTCGTTCGAGGGATGGAACCCGGTATATATATCCGATGAAGAGGAGGATGAGGCAGAAGTCAATGAGACGGGCATTGAGATCGTGGACGACATAGTTGTCGATGACCCCACTGCAGGGGCGTCTTCTGCTCGTGGTGGGGGAGCTTAGATTTACATGATAGTTTGTTAGGATTGTTAAACCCTTTTTGATTTATTATTTTTTATGTAACTCTTAGTTTATTTTTATCGTTGATGTAGATGGGTATGTCTACTACTATTTCGTTTGAATTTTCTTCCTTGTTTGACATTTGAAGTTTGATATCTTGATTTATTTATTTTGACATTGTCAAGAGTTTTATGCGTTGCTTATGTATTTACATTTAGCATTGTACGTGATGTACTTGAGGAGGGGATCAGTCTCCCAAGATTTTTATTAAGGGTCGTGCCCTTTGTTCGGGCCGCGTGGGTCATAAGTATGTTAGGTCCGTGGCCACGTTTTAAAAGTAGGACCCAGTAAAACAAATAAAGAGACTTAGACAATCCAGTTGGCCAGGCTATATACATTATCTTAATTTTTCTAAGTGTTTGTAGGGTTGTATAGCATTGAACTCGTCGTAACGGGTAAATAGTGTAGAGATAATAACATAGAGAATAAAGCAAAAAAATTGATTTATTCAATGGTAGAAAATGAGAATTGTTACAAGCCTACGTGAGGCGAAGGGAAATAAATTTGTGAATGTCACAAGCCTACGTGAGGCGAAGGGAGATAACTATTGAAAAAGCAAATGAGTTGAAATAATAAAAACTATTCTAAGTCATTATACTAATTTGTTCTTCTTCCACCTCTTCCCTGTACTCGTCCGTGTTGTTGTGCTGATGGTAAGTCGATTTCCTTTGGCGTCTCTATGCCTGAAAAGTATAGTAGAATTTTTTTTAAACACTTGTAACTTAGTAATTGTATAAGTTGGGGTGATGTGTACTATAACGTCACGTACCCACTAAGGTGGTTGTTTCTCTTTCTCGCACTGCGAGATATGAGATCAACTCGTGAGTTACGGTTATTTGTTGCGTAATCATGCATGTTAAATGTAATGGCTTTATTATGTTAGTATAGATACACAAGAACATGCGTGTGATATCATTTAGTAGAAGCGGTATTACCCTTGGCGATGTAGTTTGGAGTATCTTCGCTCTTTGGGCTAGTGATGAGTGGTAGGTATCCCCTCGTAATTGATTCTCTATCTGTAAGAAGGTCATGAAAAGTGATTATGGGATGTTGATGTAGGTAATATTAATAGCTCCCCAGTTTATGTGGGACGTTTAAGCACCTCGTTATGGAGTAGAAACTTCTCGAGCGTGTAGAGACAGTTTTTTGCAAGACACGTGACGTGGAAGGTCGCGAATCCTGCGGGAGTAGAATCCTCGTTTGTAAAGTTCTTCTCCCACTATTACGAGCGAGCGGCCCTCGCTTTTAACTTCCGTGCTTCGGTAATGTCAGTTGGAAGATCTCCCTTCTTGAGATATTTTATGATTGGAATGAACCAACACGGTTCGTTCGTCCTCCTCATTGTAATGCACTTCATTAATTGAAGCTAACTCCGGTTGAGGCGAGGTGAGGAGAGTAACCTTCCGACTTCCAATGCTTGTCATGGAGCTTCCAAGCCTAGCTAACTTGTCCGCATGGATGTTACTGGAGCGAGGCACTTGTCTTATTTCATAGCTTTCGAACTTGGCTTATAGACTGTGTTTGAGAGCTAAGTATTTGTCCATGAAGTCTTCTTTGACCTCGTAAGTTCCGAGTATCTTGTTAACGACGAGTTGAGAGTCGCTTTGTATTAGGATCTTACGTGCTCCGGCTGCTAGGGCGAGGCGGATCCCAGTTATCAAGGCTTCATATTCAGCGAAATTGTTTGAGGCTATGAATTCGAATCGTTGAGCATATTCGAATTCATCTCCATTGGGGTTCGTTAATACGATACCCGCTCCAGCTCCTGTGGTTGTAGAAGATCCATCAACGTTGACGAACCAAGTGGGGATGGAGGAGCTCTCTTCTACTGCGGTCATTTCGACTAGCAAGTCGGCCAATACTTGCGCCTTGATGGCGGGGCGGGGCTTGAATTCTACCGCGTATTCACTCAGTTCTATTGCCCATTTGGCTAACCGCCCGGATGTCTCGGGACACCGTAATATCTGCTTCAGGGAGTTATTGGTGAGGACCACCACTTGATGTGATTGAAAGTAAGGTCGGAGCTTCCAAGCTGCGTTTATGAGGGCGAGGGAAAGCTTCTCCATATTGGTATAGTGTAGTTCGGCTCCTTGGAGGGCGCGACTTATGTAGTATATGGGCTGGTGGCC